AATCCACCACTCTCCCTTACTCAGCTTGTCTCCATGGCTACCTTCCTGTTCTTCAAATACCCTGAGTACACTTCTGCCTCAAGGCTTTTGCACTGCTGCCCCCCTTCCCCAATGTTCTTCCACAAAGCTAACTCCTCCTCCTTCGATGCTTGTGCATACTGCAAACTATCTTCCCTGCTCCCCATAAAAACTTTAAAACATTCCCAGAGTTTTTTTATTGCTGTTTTTTGTTTGTTGGGGGGGGGGGGGTGTTTGTTTGCTTTTGCTATTTTCCAAGCATGCATCATCATGTAATAGGCTATTTAATTTATTTATGTTGTGTTTTCTTTTCCAATACCATGTAAGTGCCATTAGGGGCTAGGGGCTCTGCTCTGTGCTTGGCACATGGTGCCTGGCAGAATGGAAATGCAATAAACATTGCAATGAAAGAATGTTGGGGCCAGAGTGCAGGGTTGGCCAGCAGAAAGACAGAACACAAAGCCTTGTGTTCAAGTAAACCTGAGGTCTGAGGTGCTTCTGTGGTAAGACAAGGACCTGCACAGACTTGGGGAGTTGAATAGGCAGAGCTGAAGGACAGTGACCGCAGTTTACCAGGGAAGGCTTTGTCTGCCACAGCAAAAGCTTAGAGATGATCCTGCAGGGAACCCAGCATGTAAAGGGGCATCTGGCCCCAGGGCCAGAGTAGTATTTATTTATTTGCTTGCTTGTTTGCTTATTTTTGGTACTGGGGACTGAACTTAGAGCATTTTACACTGAGTTTCATCCCCAGTCCCTTTTTTCTTTTTCCTTTTTTGAGACAGGGTCTCATTAAGTTGCTGAGATTGGCCTCAAACTTTCAATCCTCTTGTCTCAGTCTCCCAAGCTCCTGGCTTTATAGGCATGCACAACCACACAACCTCAGAGTATCATTTATAAAAATGAGGGATGGATTGGGGGGAAGGGGGGCAAGGAAACCACTTAGAAGGCTACACTGGACTGAGGCCAAGGAATGAGATTGAGGGACAGAATTTGAGAGATTTCCAAGGTCAGATCTACAGATGTGTGAGGGCAGTGAAGGACAGGGAGGATGAAATGAGATCTGGCTAAAGAAAGCTGTCCTCAAACACCATCACATCACCGTCCATTAGGGTAACAATCCAAGGCTTGAGAGGCCTTCCAGCTGTGGCTGTAGTACAAGGTGGGCTTCTCAGCAATCTGCCTCCTCTGCTCCTATACCCCTCACAAATCCAGAGTCAAATCCCCTGTTTTTCATAAGACCTTTTTCTGAATAGTTTGTATTACTCTGACTTCTCCACTGCTAGACTTCAAGTGGATGTGCTCCAAGGAAATTCATAAGTACACATATCTTAAGCACCTACCTTACTCTCAACACTTTAGGAGGCTCCAAAAGAGAACAGAAAAGAAACATGGGACAAGGCCCCATCCCCCACCCATGACAAGGTAGGTGAGAGATGTGGACAGAACCAAACAGTTAAGGATGGACTGCAATTCCACATAACACTTTTTGCCCAAAATTCATCTGGTGCATGAAAAAGAAAAACATACTCATTTTTATCTTTAATTCATACCAGAGATGAAGAAGAGGAGACATCCCATGGGCTATATACCTTGAGCAACTCACCAGATTTGGGGGGTGACTATCCAAACACAGAGAACCACACAGGAGACTGGAGGTACCCAGAAGAGGAGACAGCAGGCCTGATCTTAGTATGCAAATGTCCCAAGAAAGCCAGCTGACCAAAGGGAAAGCCAGAGGGCAGCTGAACCAAAAACTAATCATCAGGGCTCAAAACAGACCTTACTGATTATTGAATGGGTAGAACATAGAAAATCAGAGGAGCTCCATGGAGTTCTGCGGGAATCTGCCAGAACAGTCCCTTAATCAATAAGGAAGAAATGGACCTATAACCCATGGGCCTTTGAGTAACTCTTCCAAACAAGCTTTGATCCTGACATTCTTGATGGTACAAACCTAGTCCTCCTTACATTGTCTAACATCATTTTAAGAGAAGCCAAAATCATGGCAAAGCCAAACTCCTATATAAACTGTTAGGGGAAGCCAGGGGCATGAAGGAAAACATTCCAGAATTAAATACAGTGATCACACAATCCAAGTCAAACAAGCTATTGCATTAATGAGGCATGAAGGAACAGTAACTATCTCCAGGGCTAAATAAAGCATGGCCACCTTATCAGGGAAGGTGCATAAAGGCTTGCTATCAGTACCCTCTACTAAGTAGAAGAGATTTTTTTTTTTTTTTTTCCAAGTGGGAACCCCCGTCGGGAGTAAAGGGAGCTCAGACAGAGCATTTTCTTGTGGATGACAATGCAAATCTCTTTCCAGTTTAACCCACAACAGGGTGAGCTCTGACCAGGATACATTATTAATCAATCAAAAGAGAAGCCCCATTTTTAGTTACCCATTGAATTCAGTATCTTCAAATACCTTGACCTAGAATTGACAGTACAGCTAACTCTCTGTTTACCATGATAATGGGGATTTCAGGAATGACAGCAGTTCACTGGGAAGCAAAAACAAGCCCACTGGATGCTTAGCAAGGCATCTTTTAGCACATTAAAGATGCTTCCAATACCATCAAGTGAGGATCTGGTATTTGCTCAGCACTGTGAGGTTTAAATCATACATTTCCACATCAATAAACCAAGTGGTTTGATCCACCACTACTAGTGGCCATCCAGTTTGTCAGAGTGTGGGGCGCAGGGAGAACAGGAGCCATCACCCCATGCCTACCCCTCCTAAGTGAGTGACATGTGAGCAGATGAGGTGAAGCATGAGCTCCTGAGGAGACAGGCAGGACAGGAGTCAAGAGAGAGTTGGCTGTACTGGATCAACAAGCACCCCCCAGCAAGCCGCCCGGCATTTCTAGGAAGGAGAAAAGCAAACCGCCGTCCCACCTCGGGCTGCGCGGTCACAAGTGAGGCAGGGCTGGGACCAGTCGCCATTTGGGCGGGAGGCCAGCCCCAGGTGCGGCAGGAAAGGGTGGCGCTGGCTCAGTGGCTGCAGCTCCTCACTCTGACCCAGCGGGGCCGCTGTGCGGTGCTGGGGGCACAGCGAGGCCTCAGGCGCTGTTGGGCAGGGACACACACACATACACACAGAGAGAGACACACCATTAGAGGATGCGCAGCAGCCCTGCAGGGGGTGTAAGACAAGACCATCCAGGGTCCCAATCACCACACGGTGGTCCCCTCTGCTCAGAAGCTGTGAAGAGCCCACTGACCACATTCTAACCCTAAATATGCAGCTGAAGCTCAAGGTTTGAGGAAACAGGAAAAATTTAGACCTGGAACATTATTTAGTTTGGTAGGGCCTGTGGTTGGAGACCCAGGGTTTAGTTTAAGGAGAGGCCCAATCAAATGACCAGGCTCCTATGCCGCCATCTCACCCCTGCCCGTGGAATGTTCCACAAACTGTTCATTAAACGTGACACTGTTTCAGCTCTGCTTTGTATCCTTTGGCTTCTTAAGAATACTGGCTGTGAGAGGCACAGAAAAGAAGAGGGCCACTGCCCCTCGGTCATGCATCTCAACCACAACCTCTTTTGACAGAGGAAACCAAAGGACTTTCTTTTTATTTATTTATTTTTGTATATACGTGCAAATTTAACCCGAAAGGAAACTTCTGTACATTATAAACCATTTATTTTCTAGTGGTTTCATGAAGGTTACAACCATTGCTTAAAAAGAACAGTTTAAACCAAGAGAAAATGACAATAACTAAAAATGGGACAAGAAAACTCTAACTGCTCCAAGTTTGATGATAACTTAGAATTCCTAGAGGCAGAAAAATCTGACTTTGATATGCAAATTTCTCATTTGACACACTTCTTAAAATGCTGTGGTAAGGGGACAAAGTCAAACTGAAACCTGCAAAAGCAGGAAATGTTGGCAAGTGGTCTGATGACAGAACCACTGACTAAGCAAGAGTTGACCGGCTTGCCAAACTACAAATAATTCTTCAAAAAAAATGTTTACTGTTATGCTGATATAGTGTTACTAATTCCAGAAAGCATGAGCATAAAAATCTGCATTTTTGTTTTTGTAGTCAGAAAATACAATTTCTGCACTCCCCCAGCTCTATACCTCCCTATCCTTATATAAAGCCACCAAAGCCAACTATCTCAATGTGGGGTTCGCACCATGGCCACAGAGCACTGGAAGGGTGGAGAAGGGGCACTATTCCTAAGACCTTGGCCAGGATGCCAAATGTGGTTCAGGACATTAGCTTCTAACAGGCCTTAAACTCTACTTCTGCTCCCTGAAATCACTTCCGAACACAGGACAAATACCCAAAGTGAACTGACAAGCAAAACCAGAAAAAAGACCAGCCCTGTCCAGTGCAGAGCCAACCACACAACCAAATCACAGAGCACTCCTTTTGCATGTTTGGAAAAGAAGCCTTGCTCACATTAACAACCTGTGGAGGTTTTTTAGCAATTTTCCCTCTCTACACAAAACAGAAACACCCAATTTCCATGCTCTGTGATGCTGAAGTAGAATACACTGAGCCACTCAAGAGACCTACAGCTCAGTCAACAGAAAAAAAATTTAATACCAGATTAAGGAAACAAGATTACCAAAAAAGAGCATTCATTTCCCCCTAGTTATCAATCAGCTCCCCATTACTTGAGTAGTAGTAGGCAATTCCTATGCTGGCAAACCTTCTCAGAAGAAAAAGCTAATGAGACCTGCCTTGGTGCCCATCTTCTCCTGAGAACACAGGAGCCACCCTGCCCAGATGCACAGAATGAAACCCACAGAGCAGCCAAGGGACTGAAAGCCCTTTTGTGAACATAACTCAACCCAGACTAGGGCACTGTTGTCTAGTATGCAAAAGCTGAGAACTGAGGACAGAATCAAGTCCTAGAGTGGCTGCCACATCCTCAGCCCCAGGCAACCCAGGCTACCTGCTGCCCTGGGTACTGCATCTACATAAGGTGCCCATTTAAGTCAGGGTAGGAAGGGCTTAGATTACTCACAGCCATGATAGGAGGCTGGTGACCCCCCAGCCTTGCCATACTCCTGCTCTGAGTAGCTGGTGGAGAGATTGGGCTGGCTGGAGCCGCGGCCAAAGGTGATCTGGTTGCTGCCCATGCCAGTGGCCACCTGGGCCATGCGCTCTTTGGTTTTGAGAGCCTGGGCCCTCTCAGCCTTCAGTCGCTCCTCATCCTTGAGAAGGGCCACCAGCTGCTTAGACTTTTCACGCACATTGATGCCCTGGTCCTTGCCGTCACGGTCAATATACTGGAAGTCCTTCAAGGTCTGGATTGCAAAGATGTTCTCACGGCACTGCTGGGCCACACGCTCAGAGCCTGTCTTAATGAGGTAGTCCAGCAGGGTCAGTGCCTTATACACGTGCCTCCAGTTCTTGCCATGGTCATTGAGCCGTTTCCACACCATACTCATGATCTCCGAGAAGGCAACCACGTTATAAGTCAGGTCAGCAATCTCGGTCATCAGAGAGCTGGATGGTCCCCATGGGTCATTGGAGGTGGCTTCCCGGACTTTGATTTCAGCCTCTGAGTAATTGTTCACAATGTTTTTCATCTGTCGTCTGATAGATGAAGTCGTCATTTTTATTTTCTTTGTTACAAATTTAAAGCCCTTCAAAGAGAAACTTTCCTGTTCTCTCTGTAAGTCCACACCCTATGAAGGTCCAGTTTCCGTAACTGAGCTGGAGCAAGAGCCCGGAACAGTCATTTCCTCCTCTGGAGCCTCAGGTCCAAGAAGCTGGAAGCCATGACCTAGAGAGACAGAAAAAGCACCCTGTGACGGTGATCTGGTTGCTGATATGAGCACCCTGTGACGGTGGGAGATCCTTGCCCAGACACTTCTATAAACTGCAGGTATTAGGTAAGAATGGGCAGGTTGTGTATATAGTTAACATATTCTTGCCTCCTTACGATGTGAGAGAGTCCATTTTGCTTTCAAAACTAAGATAAAATCAATAGTGCCAGTAATAATAAGTAAAATTGATAATGTCAGCTAATAATGAGTAAAACCTAAACTCAAGTAAACATTGTAACTATTGTTCCATTTCCAAGAAAGTCTTCCACTAAAATGGCTATTTGGTGGGTTCTATTTTCACTGCTGGGTACTGTGAAAGAATCAGGATGCTGGGGAAATTGGTCCTGATATGTGTATTTTATATTTTACACTGGGGCTTTAATACAGGGCCTCACACTCAGTTACCACTGAGTTATACCCCAAGCTCAATTCTGATAGTTTTAAAATTATATGTAGCCTCTCAATTTAGGGCTATCTTAATCCAAAATGCTCGTTTATACCTCTAAAACTGCTGAACATTTGGCCTTGGTCCCCTGGCCTTCTTCCTCAAGAGCTACTTCTTTTCTGACCTTCCCTGCTCGAGAACTAATGAGGGTTATCTCTGGTCTTCTAGAGCAAGGATGACAACCAACTTTCCCTCCGCCACTTTCAAGACCCTAGGCATCTGACCCAGCTAACACAGCCTTAAAACTTCTTAGTTGGAGCCCAACCCCCTCAACTCAATAGAGGAGAAAACTGAGGCCCAGAGATATGCATTCCATGAACTCCAAACACACCCATCCCCTCTTCCTCCAGATGAGAAACACTTACGGAGTTAAAGCGGGGTCCACATCTCTGACACAAGGCTCTGGTCCTCAAGTTTGGTGACCCCCATCTGCCTCGTTCACAGTGAGTACCCAGCACCTAGCAAGCACTGTGCCCAACACGAAATAACACTGTTGAATAAATAATATTAGAGATTAGAAAGTGTCCTTATCCTCAAGAAGGCCATAATCCTGCAGAGGATAAAGGTTCCTCATCTACAAAATGAGGATTCTAAGGCCCAGAAGACTTCAGAGATGGCCACAGATTAAGCAGAACAGCTGGAGACTAGACAGAAAGTGAGGGGCTCCAATCATCACTACCACTTTCTTGGCCATTTGGGTTCCTTCAGGCCAGGATCTCTGTCTTGCTTGTTATCAAGCTTGTGAAAACTACTGTCTCATAAATAATCTGTTTCTATAACAAAAAAAAAAAAAAAAGAAAAAGAAAATCACTGTCAACTGTCTGGCAGAAAAAGTCACCCAGCTGGGCCAGCATCCTTCTCTAGATATATCCCCTGTGTAGTCCAGGACCTGCCACCTCCTCTTGAAATGGCCTTTCCTCTCCACCATGCTGCTGTGCTATTTCTACTAGAGAAACAAAGACAGTCTCCGTTTTCTCATCTAAAGCTCAGATGGGCAATGAACGTATCAAAATAAACAAGTAAACAAAAGGATGGCACAGGAAATATAATGGCCACTTTTCATATCACCACACAAGAAAGGGACAGCTCACAAAGTTTCATCCACCATCTCATGACCTCAAGTACGCTCAGGATTCTGTCTCTGACTCTGTCTCTGACTCTGTCTATGGCCACAGAACTGACTTTGGTTGAAGGCAGGCATGTTCTGCCTCTCTGCCCACTTGGCCAGCTCTTGTGAATCCTCCAAAGCCTATCAGAGGACCAGAGATAAAAATATTTTTTTATAGTGACCTGCATATTTGCTTTAAGTAGGCTTTTCATTCATAGGGCAACATATACTGCTGGCAGAAATGGGACGGGTCTGACAAAGGGAAAAAGAACACTCTGATTTATAGTGAGTATCTCCCAGCTTACAGAGTACATATTGTGTTGATGAGTATGGTAACACATACCTGTAATTCCAGCAACTGGAGAGGCTGAGGCAGGAGGATGGCTAGTTTGAGGCCAGCCTCAGCAACTTAACAAGATCCTGTCTCAAAATAAAAATTAAAAGGACTGGGGATGTAGCTCAGTGGTAAAATGTCCCTGCCCCTAGGTTCAGTCCCCAGTATCAACAAAAGGGGTGGGGGGAGGGGTGATAGCTATGTGTCAAAATCAGTAGTAATGTTCAGATGCACTTATAGGGGCCCTACTATATGCAAGGGACCCTAACACTTCTCAGCTGGGCGGGATGACTGCCTCCACTCCAAGAGAAGTGGGCCGAGCTGGGATTCTCCCTTGCAGAGGCCTCAACACCTCTCTCCATAATTCAATTAAGCACTAGAGCAAATAATGTTGGTAAAAAGACCTTGAATGGTTGAGAATATCTTAGGAAAAAAGAATACTTCCCCAAGGGAGAAACATACCCTGGGTTCTGCTACCCTCCTCTAGTCCCACCATCTTACAGAGTGCCACGTGGCAGAAGTCTAACAGCTGGGCCCAGCATCCTCCAGCAGACTGGGGTAAACTGTGAAGCCCCATCAGGGCTTCCACTGGGCCTAGTAAGCCTGTGACAAAGAAAAGACAGTGACTCCTGTGAGCAAGAGCCAGAGTGCCTGTTTCCTTGACACTGACCAAGGAAGGAATGCTGAACAATTCAGATGTCAGGTCTGTTGACCAAGGTGGGGGTCTTTCTTTAACAGGTTCAAATTGCACAGACACCTGTTGGTGGTCTCTGAAATATTCAAGCTTCCTAAGGAAAAAGCTAATAAAATATGCACTGCAGTCTGAAAAATAAAGACCATATAATTGACATAACTTTCTGCTATCTTCTTAAAGCTTATAGAAAGAGCAGCCTTCAGAATTAGCAGATGCTAAGAAGGGAGAGATCTGGGGATAAGAAATGCCCACTAGTTGAAAAGACACCAGAGGTGCCTCAGGGACCGTGTTTCCAGGTCAACAGGGCTATGCACCTTATCCAAGCAAGATGCTGCAAACTGAAACTTCCAATTCCAACTTAGGGTGACCTAAGCCAAGCTGCAGGACCCTGGCAATGACCACAGGCACAGAACACCTGAACCTCCATGACTTTGGCAAACTGAGCCATGTACACCCCAGACTCTAATTTTCCCATTTCAAACTTCTCCTCTTCAACCCCAGGACTGTATTGTAAATACTTAGTGGTTCTTCTTCAGCAAATATCTGCCAAGACACCTTCCCAAAAGCAAGCTCCCACCCTCCAACACGTGTTCCTCTACCTCCCAAGGACATATCCTATTATTCCAAAACCTGAGTTTTTGGTTTTGTTCTCTCTTCTCAATAGTTTGCTTGCTCTACTTTCCAAACTTTCCTTCCCAGTTTGCCAGTTCTTCCATTTCCAGCCTGCTGAGCACATGCAAAAGCCACTAGAACAGGAATTTGTTACCTCCTGGGATCCTTATTTGATTTAAACCTAGGAATTATGACCAGTTCACAAATGTGAACCACATCTTCAGGACTCCAGGCCAGATATGGGGAAGACAGCGGGACAAGGAGGAGTTGTGAAAACGGGAGAAAAATAAAACTTTGTTAAAAATTCACATAAAAGAGAACTCCCCCACTGAAAGGTGGGAGAACTTCTTTTTATAAATTACATACTGAAAAGTAAAGGGACAATGTCACTGTGTGAATTTGTACAATTCTGTTATACATACATACATTTATTTATGGTACCAGGGACTGAATTCAGGGGCACTCTAATACTGCACTATATTCCCAGTCCTGTTTATTTTTTTATTTTGAGACAAGGCCTCATTAAGTTGCCCAGGCTAGCCTCAAACTTGTGATCCTCCTGCCTCTGACTTCCAAGTAGCTGGGATTACAGGCGTGTGCCACCATACCAGGCTGAGATAGCCACTCTTAATCACTGTGAGTCAATAAAATTCCAACCAACAGCAAAGAAACTGAACATCCTAGCTGGCCTGGGGATGTTGCAGGGGGAGATAAGTTAGAATTTGGCCCAGAGCTGGTGGTAAAGATCACTGGCAGAGCATTTGCCTGGTGTACTGGGTGGCCCTGCATTTAATTCCTAGCACCACAAACAAACAAAAAGAATGATTTGTTAGCCTTTTTGGAAGTCCTTGAGAGTTTTAAGGACTCCACCATCAAAATCCACAATATTTTCAGTATGGAAAGAAAGACTCATTTCTCTACATTTTGTCTCCAGAACTAAAAGCCTTCTTCTAAGCCAAATATTTAATTTTCAGCCTGTTAATGGAATCTGCTGGTTTTTACCTGTGCAACAAACATCTCCAATTGTCTTGGAAAGGGTGCCTCAGTCATTCTCAGGGATTGGCCAGAAGAGGCTCTGGTCTCAGGCAGGGTCAATTAAAGCACCAAAGTACCCCAGCCTGGTGGTATATTGACAATCCAGATTAGGCCACCTGGAACCCTGTCTGGATGGGACCTGAGACAAATGGGAAGCCAGGAGGTTGCTAAGCTGCTAGAAGCCACCACAAGGCCAGGGTCAGAGGTTACCTAAAACTGAAATAAGTACAGGAGAAAGCAAGAAGAGGGTGAAAGAAAGGGTGAAAGACATCGCATCATTTGTACCTCTAGGTTCATCTATATCTGAAGCCATTCATCCCTTCTCATGTAACTGAGAAGTCATTTGTAACTTTCAGTGGGGTTTTTGTCACTTGCAACTGCATGTCCTATGCAACAAGTGCTTGAGAGGACAAGAGGAGGAAAGCCAGCAACAGCCAAAGAGAGCATGGTTGTTCCTTCAGCTCCCAGTGGGCTTCAAGCAGAAGTGTAAAGACAATGCCAGGCTCCCCGGCAGCAGACTGACATAGAGGGCTGTGTATTCCCAGGGATTCTCAGCACTCCCCAGTGTGATGAAGCATCCCCAAAGTTTGGGATCATCTACTTTTTCACGAGAGCAATGTATGATGGGAACCATAAAGTAACTGAATTAAACAACTAATAGGGGAATAACAACCCAAGGCTGATATGCCCCTGGAGGCAAGAAGTCTATAAAAATGTGCTCCAAGGACATGTAGAGTTGAATAGGGAAATTCCTTTCAAATCTGGTACTCCTGATCATGAGGGACAGATTCTTCTAGGTTCTGAATCACCCAGGTAGGACACTGTCAAAACATGGTGACTTCACCTGTGCTTCCTAAGGAAATTCTGGGCAGTTACTTTTCAGTTCCATTATCAAGGATAAAGCCCTGCTGTGAAGAAATAGCAACATCTGTCCCTCAATACCCTCTCCCTAAACCTAACAGTCACAGGACTCAACAGTGACTGTAGCAAATCAGTCCCAATCAATACATATGATTGAGTGGATTGACTGAACATCCCACATCAGATGGCAGCTCCTATGACTTCACACATACTTCATCCTTCTAAAAGCAGATGAGAGTGAGCTTGAGAACGGACATGTCCATGTTTCCCCCAGTGTCACATCTGTATAGTCCACAGCCCATATTTATCAGAACACCCTAGGAGCCTGTTTGAAAATCCAGAGATAGAAAAGAGGTAGAACCAAGAGGATGCTGCATTCTTAACAAGCTCCCCAGATGATTTTAGGCACACTGAAGCGGGGCTAGGGGTCTGGGGTATGATGCACAGGAACCGGAAATGTGGGTGACACTCTGCAATCCTTGATTAACTGGCTCTGATCCCTTTATGTGCCATCTATGAGAAAGCAAACACTTCCATCTTCCTCCTGGGGAAAAGGGTACAAGGCCCTTTACAAGGAGGCCCAGTCAGGGGTAGCTGAGACAGCAGCTCACATGACAGACCCTCCAGAAGACAACAGCCCAGTCAGGACAATATGGACAGTACCACATTCTTTTCAACAGTAATCATTTCAGCCTAAAGAGAAAGGACTATTATGGTTCTGCTTCAGCCACGTTAGCATTAACTTAAAGCCTAAGAACTGTGGCTCATGTAGAAGCAGGGAGAAATTCCTTTATTTCCCTCACCAGGAAAAACAATGAGCTTCAGCCCAAATGCAACACCTTCTTC